ACATTGAGTCACTCAGGGGAAATCGGCATCTCTGTAAACAGGCAGAAGAAGGTGCCCAGTGGAGGTGCACCACACTGCATGGAAATGCTGTCCACATGCATCTTTGGGGTCTTAATGTAACTAACTGGGCTGTCATTTGCATGGCTAGATACTCACTGAATCTGGTCATGCTGTTTTTGGCAGGTAATGGCATTTGTTCCCCATCAGTTTTCTACAATTATTTGCTTTGCTGAAAAATAAATCTTTTGTTAACTTACTCTAAGAGACTAGATTTTCAATTTTCAATTTTCAAATATGAAAGCAAATCAGAGAAGAAGAATATGTGTATATAGCATGCATTTTCCTGCCTATCAAAATTCTTCTTGTATTGCCTTGGAAACCCTAGGAAACCACCTAAAGAATTCTCCCTTCAAATTGTTTAGCCAGAATTTTAGATTTCAAAAGATCCAAAACTTAACAACTGAGCAAAGCAAAAATCTTGTCTTTGCTTCTTGTTAGTAATCTGTCATTTCAGAAAACATGGCAATTATGCCAAGCCATTGAAAAAGAGGTGGTTTTGGTTAATTTTATCCCACTTAAAATGTTGTCTTTAATTGTTACTTTTATCATGTTAATCTAAGATAAACTATCTACGTAACTATTTATGCATTCAGGAAATATTATGTCAGGCGCGGTGGCTCACACCTGTAATCCCAACACTTTGAGAGGCCAAGGCAAGTGGATCACTTGAGGTCAGGAGTCCCAGACCAGCCATGCCTACATGGTGAAACCCCATCTCTACTAAAAATACAATAATTAGCCAGGTGTGATGGTGTGTACCTGTAATCCCAGCTATTTGGAAGGCTGAGGCAAGAGAATTGCTTGAAACTGGGAGACAAATGTTGAACTGAGCCAAGATCTTGCCACTGCACTCCAGACTGGGAGATAAAATGAGACTCCATCACACACACACACACACACAAATATATATATATATATATATATATATATATATATATTTCTATTAAGGAAGGTGTTTAAAGTTCAGTATTATAGTACAGTATAGCAGAATTCTCTAAAATCAGCAGAAGTTCAATGTAATTTCAAGGTTTGTTTGTTTGTTTTTTTTTTTTTGAGACAGAATTTTGCTCTTGTTGCTCAGGCTGGAGTGCAATGGCGTGATCTTGGCTCACAGCAACCTCTGCCTCCCAGGTTCAAGCGATTCTCCTGCCTCAGTCTCCTAAGTAGCTGGGATTACAGGCATGTGCCACCAAGCCTGGCTAATTTTGTATTTTTAGTAGGGATGGGGTTCCTCCATGTTGGTCAGGCTGGTGTCCAACTCACAACCTCATGTGATCGGCCTGCCTCAGCCTCCCAAAGTGCTGGGATGAGCCACCATACCCGGTCTGGTTTCAAGGTTTTTAAACTGTGAAAACAAATGATGATTAGGTATGCTTTATGCTTTTTCCTTTCTTTTCTTTTCTTTTTTTTTTTGTTTGTTTTGAGCCCGAGTCTCATTCTGTCACCCAGGCTGGAGTGCAGTTGTGAAATCTCAGCTCACTGCAACTTCCATTTTCTAGGCTCAAGTGATCCTCCCACCTCAGACTCCTGAGTAGCTGGGAATACAGCCTTGTGCCACCATGTCGGGCGATTTTTGTACTTTTAGTAGAGATGGTGTTTTGTCATATTGCCCAGGTTGGTTTCAAACGCCTGGGCTCAAGTGATCCATCCACCTCAAACTCCCAAAATGCTAGTGGTACAGGAGATAGAAAGAAATTGTTTGGGCAGATAGCAAGGGTAAAAGAGTCCCTGGCAAGGTTTCCCTTTTAACCAAAAGCAGCCTGAAAAATTGAGCTGCAAACATGGATAAGCAAACCGGAACCTTGCACTAACTAGTGAATGCCAGAAGCTGTGCCAATAGAAAAGGGTTACCTGAGAGCCAGGTATGTTCGACATGGAGGCTCCGTCCTCCCTTTCCTCATCATGCCTACGTTAAAGAAATAGGCAATATGGCTGCTGGTCAGGCAGAGAACCTATCTGCATAATAAAAAATTAGGGTGGGGGTGGCCAGATTTCACACCTATGCAAATAGCACAACTAGTCCTAACCAGTTTTTTGCACTGTATACAAATAGCGCACCTAATCCAATCAATATTTCATACCCTATGTAAATCAGGCATTAACTCTCAAGATCATCTATAAAGCACCTTGCATTTCACCCGGAAACCGGCAACCCATTTCTCCAAGAACCCTCTCTGTCGCAGAGAGCTCTTTTCTCTCTTTTGCCTATAAAGTTCCACTCTGAACCTAACTGTGTGTCCATGTTCTAGTTTTCCATGCCACGATGCCACGAGGATTATAGGCATGAGCCAAGGCACCAAGCTGGTATGCTTTTATTTTTTGGAAACAGAGTCTTGATCTGTCTCCCAGGTTGGAGTGCAGTGGCTCCATCTTGGCTTATTGCAGCCTCTGCCTCCCGGGTTCAAGCGATTCTTATACCTTAGCCTCCCGAGTTGCTGGGACTACAAGCGCACACCACCACACCGGCTAATTTTTGTATTTTTAGTAGAGATGAGGTTTCACCATGTTGGCCAGGCTAGTCTCGAACTCCTGACCTCAGGTGATCACCCGCCTCAGCCTCCCAAAGTGCTGGGATTACAGGCATGAGCCACCGTGACCGGCGCTGGTATGCTTTTTCATAACTTCAATTCTAGGAGGGTACCCACTGGTCTTTATGGGGCTTCTGTAAGGATACTGTAACCCTATTCCACCAGAATGGTGCAGACATGCTGATTTTATTAGAATGAGTTTAGTCTTCTTGGTAGACTGTTGGTATCCCAGAGGCTGACCATTCACCTCGGCTTACTAAATGTAGCTTCATGATGCCAATGAGTCCTTTCAGCCAGGTTGCCTTTTTCTTCTCATTGATGTAGTCATGTTGTGACCTCTTTTGCTTGTCTTATGCTATTCCAGATAATAGGTGATTATTTCTTCCATAAGTTAGACCCTCTTTCTTTCTTTCTTTCTTTTTTTTTTTTGAGACGGAGTCTCGCTCTGTCGCCCAGGCTGGAGTGCAGTGGCGCGATCTTGGCTCACTGCAAGCTCCGCTTCCCAGGGTCACGCCGTTCTCCTGCCTCAGTCTCCCGAGTAGCTGGGACTACAGGCGCCCGCCATCACGCCCGGCTAGTTTTTTGTATTTTTAGTAGAGACGGGGTTTCACTGTGTGAGCCGGGCTGGGATGATCTCGATCTCCTGACCTCGTGATCCGCCCGCCTTGGTCTCCCAAAGTGTTGGGATTACAGGCGTGAGCCACCGCGCCCGGTCCCCTCTTTCTTTTCTCTGCCATTAGATCCTCCTATGACGTATCTGTCTCTTTCTCTTAAAAGCACTTGTAATCCCAGCACTTTGGGAGGCCGAGGCGGGCGGATCACATGAGGTTGGGAGTTTGAGATCAGCCTGACCAACATGGAGAAACCCCGTCTCTACTAAAAATACAAAATTAGCCGGGCATGGTGGCGTATGCCTGTAATCTCAACTACTCGGGAGGCTGAGGTAGGAGAATCGCTTGAACCCGGAGGTGGAGGTTGTGGTGAGCCCAGATCACGCGAGTGAAACTCCGTCTCAAAAAAAAGTACCTCTGGGTCGGGCGCGGTGGCTCATGCCTGTAATCCTAGCACTACTTTGGGAGGCCAAGGCGGGTGGATCACTTGAGGTCATGTATAATATTATAGATAATATTATATATTATTATATATATATTATATTATATACAATAATATATTACATGAAAAATTACATACTGCTCACATATTAAAATAATATTTTGAATATTAGAATATTTGAATTCTAGAACTAGAGTATATAAAGATGAAATTTTTACAATAAATTCCACCTGTTTCTTCGTTTTTTTTTTAAGTTTGGCTACTAGAATGTTTAAAATTCACATGTGACTTACATTTTGTTTCAGAGGATTGCCTCTGTTTTAAAATCTCAGGCTGTCTGCTTAAAGGACCAGAAGCTAGGAAGGTCGTAAAATCTGAAATTGTTAAATAATGTTATTATATTTTTTCCATTTGTTAATAGCCATATAATTGTGAACTTCAAATATCTGAGACAGATCTCAGTTAATTTCGAAAGTTTATTTTGAGGCCAGGCGCGGTGGCTCACGCCTGTAATCCCAGTACTTTGGGAAGCCGAGGCGGGTGGATCACCTGAGGTCAGGAGTTCAAGACCAGCCTGGCCAACATGGTAAAACCCCAGATCATGCGAGTGAAACTCTGTCTCAAAAAAAACTACCTCTGGGTCGGGCGCGGTGGCTCACGCCTGTAATCCTAGCACTTTACTAAAAGAAAAATTAGCCAGCTACTCTGGAGGCTGAGGCAGGAGAATCGCTTGAACTACGGAGGTGGAAGTTGCAGTGAGCGGAGATCGGATCGTGCCACTGCACTCCAGCCTGGAAGACAGAGCGAGACTCCGAAAGAGACAGAGAGAGAGAGAGAAAGAAAAAGAAAGAAAACTGGACATGGGGAGGGGGCTTCCAGGTCCTAGGTAGATAAAAAACAAATGGTTGCATTCTTCTGAGTTCCTGATTAGCCTCAGAAAAGGAGGCAATCAGATATGCAGTCATTTCAGTGAGCAGAGGGGTGACTTTGAATAGAATGGAAGGCAGGTTTGCCTAAGCAGTTCCCAGCTTGACTTTTCCCTATAGCTTAGTGATTTTGGGGCCCCAAAATTTATTTTCCTTTCACACAATATACTATTTATTAATACAAATGCATATGACCTTATACACAAGGTTAAATGCAAATACCCTGTGGGTGGGCCTGACTCAGTTCAGGGAGGAAGCCCTGATTGAAAAGCCTGCCGCTTAGGTTTCATTCTATCTTCTTTCAGCTCAGCAACTGAGCACATCTTCTGCCATTCAGGGCCTGAGGGGGCGGGTCCTTAAACATCATCCAATCAGAGACGCTGGGCTGGGACCCGTCCAATCAGGCACGCAGCTGGAGCGGACAGGACGGCTTCCGGGAATTGGCGGGGCCTTTGTCTCCTACCTCAGCCGGAGCTCCGGAGCTCCGGGTCTCGTCTTCATTGCTCTGTGTACTCTGCTCCTAGAGGTTCAGCCTCTGTGGCCCCGTTACCTGCAGGTATTGGGAGATCCACAGCTAAGACGCCAGGACTCCCTGGAAGCCTGGAAATGGTGAGAGTGCCGGGTCCCAGATCCCGAGAGAGGGGGAGGGGCTGGTTGGAACTGGTGGGAAGTGGCGGTGGCGAGACTCCGGCTGCCCTGCAGTCGACTCCAAAATCCGCGCCCGGGAGTTCTCCTTGGCGCAGCTCGGCCCTCAGTCCCCTTCAGTCATAAGATGGCTGCTGGGCTGGCAGCCGGGACCCCGGGCGTCCTGTCTCGTCCCTGTGCAGTGACCGTGCCCTGGCCTGGAACCCTCTCTGGGCAGCTCTGCACCCGCAGCGCCGCATGTCTCCCCGATGACTCAGGGTGCAGGGTTCATGAATAGGAAGAGCTTTGGTTCGTGGGGTTCCCAGACCCTCCTTTTTTCTATTAAAATGTATGGAAGTCACCCCGAAAATATTAAAGAATTTAATCAGACAGTCGTTCACAAATTATAGAGCACCCAGTTATGGTTTGTAGTTTGTGGTCCATGGGAGGGGCTTGAAGGAAAGACTTTTATAAGGTGTATGATGAAGAAAACCAGTAGTTGGTTAGGTACCGTTATGTAGTTTCTTAATTTGTAAAATCAGGGTGAACATTTCCTGGTTATGTCATCAGAGGTTAATTGGTAGTTTATGGTTGGTTAAGCCTGAATTTTGTTTCCCCCAATGTTGTAATTTACAAAAAGTTTGAGTTAGATTTTTTTTTTCCATTTCTTTCTGAGACGGAGTCTGACACTGTCGCTCAGACTGTAGTGCAATGGCGCGATCTCGGCTCACTGCAACCAGCGCCTCCCGGGTTCATACGATTCTCCTGCCTAAGCCTCCCAACTAACTGGGATTACAGGTGCACGCCGCAACGCCAGTTAATTGTTTTGTATTTTAGTAGAAACTGGGTTTGACTGTGTTGCCCAAGCTGGTCTCGAACTCCTGGAGCTCAGGCAATCCACCGGCCTCCGCCTCCCAAAGTGCTAGGATTACAGGCGTGAGCCACTGCGCCCGGCCAATTTGAGTTAAATTTTTTTTAAATGGGGACCCTGGGACTAGAGCTACCTCAGTCTGATTGCCTGCTACTTAATTATGTTCACACTCCACAGGGGACAGATTTTCCCCTGAATTTTTCACATGTGGCCCAAGCAGAATCTCAAGACTACTCCCCACCCCCAATTCCTCCAGCTTAACTCTGACTTGCAGTAAAATACCAAATTTTCAGTTCTGACATTCCGAAATGCCAACTTCCTCATCCTAATTCACATTATTTTAGTGTACATTTTAGATACTGTATTTTAATCATTTTTTGACAAAGCATTGGATAGCACTTTAGAAAAACTTTTTTCTGTTTGAAAATTATTTCCCAGGAGAAGAAAGCAAAGAATCACCCCCTGACACTGTGTTGTAAAAAATGTATGCGCCTCTTTTTAAAAAAATCTTCCCTAGGCACAGAGATCTTATCAAAATGTTTTTGGGTCAAGGTTTCCCTTTGGAAACTTTATGGAGTGATGTTTCCTCAGCCACTCCTCAGCGTTTTCCTGGTTTTGAGTTTTAGTACTGTCTGGGGATAAACCAAGATACCCACAATCCCTATGTCTGCTAGAATGTTTAGTGAATATCAGCTCCTGGGTCATTTTCTCCCATAGGACAGTCTCATGTATGGAGTGTAGCTTCTCCAAAGAGCAGATGGATGTCATGAGGCTGACAGGCATCTCCTGGTGCACTTTATTTTTTTTTTTTTATTTTTTATTTTTTTGAGACCGTCTCACTCTGTCACCCAGGCTGGAGTGCAGTGGGGCGATCGTGGCTCACTGCAACCTCTGCCTCCCAGGTTCAAGCGATTCTCTAGTTTCAGCCTGCCAAGTAGCTGGGATTACAAGTGCACGCTGACACACCTGGCTAATTTTTGTGTTTTTTGTAGAGACGAGGTTTCGCCATGTTGGCCGTACTGGCCTTAAAATAGTGTACCCAAAAAAAAAAAAAAAAAAAAACTAAACAAACTTACTCCAGTGAGGTGGTGCAAGAACTTGCAAACTAAAATGCATCTGGAGCAGTAACTGAGGTATAGTGTCTCCGAACAGGGCGGTCATTGAGCACTTAGCAGGATGGGGTGGGAGAATCAAGTGATCATGGCCTGACTTGACAGGAGTCAAACACATCAGTTTTCTAATCAGCACTGCCACTCTATGGGGGTTTATAATCTTGAAAAATTTGTTCACTTTTTTTGACTTCAGTTTTTTACTGTAAATTGCATTTTATTAGTAAAACTTGAAAGGTAAAAATTTTTTAAAAAGTGAGTTTCAGGGAGAGAAATATCTAATTATATAGTCCATTTGTTAAAAATTATCATTTATCTTTTTCTTTCCCAGAATGAGTTTAAGGATTTTCTCAGGTGTGTCTTTTATGGGTGAGATCAAACAGAATTCCAAGTCTTGGCTTTTAGAATGCTACCAAGGAAAAAAATAGGGAGAATCTCTTTTTAATTTTGGCTGTAGAAAATAAATACTTTTCCACAAGAGTATGTAGTAGATGATTGGTGAGTTACTTACATTTGTGAAAACATCAGTTCGTACATGCAGGGTACATTTGTGACAGTGAATATCTCTGGTCTATGTCCTGTTATCTTGATTTCTGAGTTTAATGCTGAATTATATGGTAAAACTTGGTACCTCCCAGAAGTGTTCCCATATGACTAATTGTTTACTACATGATTTTTAATAAAAATTATAAAATAACATGTTTATCATCTAAAAGGAATGGATACTTTTGCTTTTCTTGTTGAGGTATAAAATGTAAACACCTTAAAATGTCTTCCCCTTATATGATCACTGTGTTTGAGTAATTTTGCTGGATTTTTTTAAACACTTTCAAAAACCAAGTGAATACCTCTGACATGGAAATTAAAGCTTCAGCCCAGTGACTTCAAGCTAAGGCTAATGTGGAGCCTGCAAAAGGAGCTTATTAAAGGCCCAGTTAGGTTCTTTCTGGGGAGCCTCCCCTGCAGATGTCCCAGCCTGCTCACCCCAGCCATGGAAGAAGCCTTTATACTGAGAGAAGCTACAGAGCCCTGGAAAGCTGGGGACCCACAGGCAGATGCAGTTAAGGTTAAGATGGAAGGGGTTTGGGAGGGTCTTACTGAAGATGAAGTTGTTACTGTTTTAAGGTAGTTTCTAGACTTTATAAAATAAAGTTATATTTATGTACAAAAAAATTTGAATTCCAAAGGAGTATTGCAACAGGCAAAGTACCAACTATAAGATCTTTACGGATTGCAGAGTTTAGGCAGACAAGATTAGAAAGAAGGTGGGAGGAGATGGCAAATAGAGGGTGGGAAAATTAGATTTTATATCAGAGAATGTTTTACTCTGAAGTCAGTGTGTTCTTAGCTGGGACATAAAATGGTGTATGTTGGCTCAGACTGAGGGTAGCTCAAAGTTCTGAACCTGTGGGAAGAAGATAAACTTAAGTAAAGTTTGATTAAGAAGTATTTTTTCTTAGCCACTGAGACCAATTGAGCTGTTTTTTTCTGTTGTTGTCGTTTGTTTTTTAATGAGAAAAGAAAACGTGGAGTCTGTGTTTGGTTATGTGGTAAGTAAGAAAAGAGAGCACCATCTAAGTCATAATGGGAAGGGTGTTTCCCATTACTGTCTTTCCATAAACTGTTCATGGAGAACAAAAAGGATGGATAATTTTATTAATCACAGCTATTTACCAGGATTATCTGTGTGCTTCATCTTTCCCCACCTCTTTTCTTGGTCCTATTTCTTCCATTTGAGTTTTCCTGTGTTGTGTCTTTTATAATAAACTGGTCAACATAACTACAGTGTTTGCTGAATTCTGTGAGTAGCCCTATCAAATTATTGAACTTGAGGGAGGTTATGGGAGTCCCAGATTTTTAAACGGTAACCCCAGTGTATAGATGGGCCTATGGAATTTGTGACTGGCATCTGCAGTGAGGATAGTGTTGTGGGACTGAGCCCTGAATCAGGGTCTGTGCTGACCCCGGGTGGTGTCAGAATTCAGATGTTAGACAATTAGTTGGTGTTAGAGAATTGCTTGGTATTCAACAAACTCTAGAGATTTGAGCCAGAGAAGAGATATCACAGAATCCTGGCCTGGAATGGAACTCTGGGTATGTGGGAATGGGAGGCTCTGTTCTCCTGTACACAGGCTGCCACACTGCCCGTTGTCCTGTGATTCCAGGTCTCCTCCCAAGGTAAGCAAGAACTGAAAACTTAGAGGAAATGAGCTGTGATAACGGACCCCTTTTTTCCACAGCTGCCACCACAGGATTCCCATCCACTCTCAAACATACCCACTAGACATTGATGTGTCCACACCCCTCCCAGGACTAGGCACCGCCCTTAGGAATTTCACCATAGCATTTTTGATCCTGCTATTTTTTGCCAAAAATCCACAAAAGTGTCTACATGTCTCTGGGCATATCCCCACCCCCGTACACTGAATCTGCAGCAGCAACCTGCTTTCTCCACCAACCAACAGTTCTGCACCACCTGTTCATAATCCCGTCTGCCTGTATGGACACAAATCAGAGTACAGCCCCCCTGGGCCACTATCTGATAGCACAAACAAATCCTTCCACCTACATTGTACTATTCTCCACTCATGGATTTTTTTTCCTTTTAACTTTTACATTTGGTTCGTGGTACACGTGCCGATTTGTTATATAGGTAAAATTGTGTCGTGAGGCTTTGGTGTGTAGATTATTTTGTCACTGAGTTAGTAAGCATAGCACCAAATAGGTACTTTTTCTGATCCTCTTTGTTCTCTCACCCCCCACCCTCAATTTGGCCTCTGTGTTTGTTGTTCCCTGCTTTGTGTCCATGTGTTTTTGTTTGTTTGTTTGTTTGTTTGTTTTGAGATGGAGTCTTGCTCTCTTACTCAGGCTACAGTTCAGTGGCATGATCTTACTGCAACCTCTGCCTGCCAGGTTCAAGTGATTCTCCTGCCTCAGCCTCCCGAGTAGCTGAAATTACAGGCACCTGCCACCATGCGTGGCTAATTTATTTATTTTTAAAAATA